CTCCTGCTGAATATGATAATTATGATAACAGAATAATAACAGCTCTCAATTACTGCCCACTTACTCCATGACTTGGCCAGACCCAATTCTACACAAGTTACATGCATCATTTCCTGTAATCTTTTCAACCACCAATGAGGCATGTGCTATGGTGGTGCCCATGATAATAGATGAGACGGGGAGAGGTTAAATCACAAGCCCGAGGCCACACACTTGGTAAAGGAGAAAGGCAGGATGAGAACCCAGGCAATTCAACTTCAGATCCCTCCTGGGGCAGCCACTGGGGCCGCCACATCATCCACAGTCTGCCCCCTGCCCCCCGACTCCAGGAGCAGACTGTGGGGGAAGGCCACTCCCGTTCCTCGTGGACCGGGCCTACCTCTGTGTGGCTGGTGGGGGCTTGGCTCTGGCTCCTTCTGGCTCTTTCTCAGCACTGTTGGGCTTCTGACAGCCCAGCCTAAGGCAGGAGCTGTGATCTTGGTCTCTGTCCAGTGGGTGCTCCCTTGCCTTCACACTCAATGGCCCACATGGATGAGCCCCCAGGGGCTGTAGAAAGGGGACCCCTGGGTCCAGCAACTTGGAAACCTTTGGACCTGGTATCGGTAGAGCAGGGCCTCTCCTACCATCCTTGTCTGGTCCCAGAAAGGGTGTGCCTACATGCTACTGGCTTTCAGGCCACAACCCACCTCAGGAGAAGACTACTGTGCTGATGGGCAGTGGGGCTGGGACACAAGGTCATGCCACCCTCAAGACAGCACTCCTGTCTAGACTCCTATTGTTGTCAGCTTGTCCTATGTGCTGTCCCTCTGGCTAAGCTCTTGGCTGGCGGTGCCCATACTGGCTGTGATCTCCCCCTACAGCCTGAGCAGCCCCCTTCTGGAGGTGGAGGTCTCTTTCCACTGCACTGCCATCTCCCTGGAGCAGCATCCCTGTCTCTACTGCCAGCCAATCCTACAGATCCCCTCCCGCCGCTCCGCAGGAGTGAGGAGAAAGATGGGAGAAGGGAGACCACCAGTGGGGATGAGCGGCGCCCAGTTCCTCTGGGTGAGCACTGTGTCCCAGGAGGAAGAGGAAGAGGGTGGGAAGTCGGAATTACTACGTCCAGTACAAACTCTATCTGCACCACTCAGTGCTGTCTGGCCATGGGCAGGTCTCTAGTTTTCTCAAGCATTAAATGGGAATAATCTCCATACCCATGGGTCTGTTGAAAAAAACCAAGTGAGCTAAGAGGTGTGAGCATGATTTTTAAACTTTTTAACACACTAGACAACCACATGGCAGCATCGTTTCTCTATTCTGATTAATGGAGCAATAACTGACCCAGGCACTTTGCCCTTTGACCTCCGTGGGTCACTGTGCTGGCCTGTTCTATAGCACTATGTGCCCTGCCACTGTCCTCTCTGCCCCCGTCCACCCTGACCCCCAGTCTCCAGGCTCAGCCTCAAAGAGAGGCGGGCGACTCCTTGGAGATTGTGCAGTGGGGCCTAACATCTTAGATCCTCAGGAAAAGAGTCTCACACGTTGAGAGAAGGGCCCTATGAAAGGGGCTGCCCATCACCGCTGCCACATGTCAGTGGTGTGGTTTTTCCTCTGACCTGAAAGATGTTGTTCTGGGTGGGGGCATCGATGCCCAAATGAAGCATGGCCTCCCTGGTCACCTCGAAACAATCCTCTGAAAAGGAATCCAAGTCACAGCCCAGAGTCAGGACCAGAGGTCAGCAGGGGCAGCGAGGGGTGAGGGAGGCAGGCCCTGTCGGGATGGGTGGGTGCTGCCGGGCCAGCCCAGGGTGCTGGGTAAGGCTCCCCCTACCTTCCAAGGTCCTCTCTGGGTTGGGCAGCCAGGAGAAGGCGGCTCCCTCAGGGAGGTGCCACTGGAGCCTCTCGTCTGCACTGGCTCCTTTGCAGATCTGTGGGGATGGGGACGGGGGCTGAGCTGGGGGTGCTGGGGAAGCCTAGGCCTGCATAAGCCTGGGGTTGGGATGAGAGCAGTGAGAAACGGCAGCAATGTCAGAAGGCTGAGAGGTTCCCGTAGAGAGCCCAGGGCAGGCAGGGGGCAAAGGCAGCAGCAAACAGTTCTGGGCGTCTCCACCTGATGCAAAAAAACTCACTGAGGGGGTCTGCAGTACGATGAAGAAAGCAAAACTCCACCTGGGGAGCCCCCAGTCCCAATCTGAGAGCAGGGAGACGTACTACCCATGCCTTGGGGGTTCCCCAGTCTGATGGAGGAGGCAGAGTCTAGGGAAGTCCTTGTTCCCAGTTGCCATTCAAGGACAACCCTCCATCTGAGAATGAGAGTTTCCATTGTGGAGACAGTCCCAGCCTCAAGGACCTTCTGATCTGACAGAGAAGACAAGCACGTTCCCATGCCAAAACCATCCCGGGAGCCAAGATCCAGTGTGTGGCAGAAGTGCTACATAAAGTTTGCAGGAATAAGTGGTGGCATTGCTGAAACCAGGTGAACAGGCAGGCATGAAGCAAGGCTGGGAGGGGAAGGTTTAGGGGCACAGACCCATCTCCGCCCTGCATCTGGGCAGCTGTGGGCCCCACCTGGTACAGACCTGATAGAAGATGTGGAAGTTCCTCTCACTGGAGGCCTGGCAGGCCACTCGAGTCTTCTCTAGCAAGTAGGTCTGAACTGCAGCTCCAGTCATCTGCTGGGCCCTGGGTACAAGCAGGCTGGAGCCCATTAGTTGCCTGTTCATTCCATGGACATTTATTGGGCACTCACTGTGTGCCAGACTGCAACCTCCCCCAACTCTTCCACTTAGGCAATGGGGGTTGTGAGGACTAGGGACCACTCAGCAAGTCCTTGGTTGGGGGTCTGGGACATTGCCCTCCAACCAGCTCAGGGGCAGGACCAAGGCCTCTGTACATTATTTTGCCCCATCCCGAGGCAGGAACAGAGCCCCGGCTTCAAGCTCAGAGGTGTGGCCAAGAGGTGGCAGTTCAGCTAAAGTCTCTGAGCAAGGGTAGAAGTCAGAACACATGGGCTGCACAGGCACACTGTCCCAGGGTCCCTCAGGCTGGAGGAGTTAGAGTTCTCCAGGCTCAAAGATGACCCTCAGGTTCACTTATCACACATAAAAACATGCCAGGAGAAGCTGAGTTCTGCCCACAGCGGTGGCCCAGGCTGGGCACTGCCCCAGCCACTGTCACACTCCCCCGCCCCCAGCAGCCAGACTGGCACAGAGACTGGCAGCAGAGATTACCTGTTCAGCTGGAGCTGGATGAACTTCCCAAAGCGGCTACTGTTGTTATTCCTCAGTGTGCACGCGTTCCCTACAGATCACACCTTGTGTTTACAGAGTCCCCAGGGGCTAAGGTGGCCTCAGGTCTGCTGGCGCCAGGTCTCTATTATCCTCAAGTCACCTAAAGGCCCCTTTGTTGGTTTCCACATCACAAGGGACTGTGACTGTAACTATGGACTGGGCACTAGGGCTTTAGCAAATGTGATTCAGCTGAGTTAGAACTTCCTGGCAATGAAGTGGAAAGAGCCAATCTAGGCAGTCAGGGACTATTTTCTTTGAAGAAGGATCAAAAACAAGCTGTTACTATTGAGGCAGACGGTAAGGCACAACATCTAGGGTAGCCAACATGGACACTAATTGCTGTGCATCCTTAGACAAGTCCCCTTCCCCGAACCATCAGGAAGCTGTTCGGAAGGATGGGGCTTGGACTGGGTGAGCCAGAAGGTCCTCCCCAGCACCACTGCTACACCTGCTTAGGCTAGAGGGAGGCGACGACAGAGTGACGTCACCTCTACTGGAAGGAGGCTAAGGGTACCTGGGAGGAAGCTAGGGATCCATGGCAGTGAATGATAAACTATCCTCCACCCCTCTCCTAAAGAGAACACTGCTCCTTTCCCTGGAAGGTGGCAAATCCCAGAGGAAATGGGACTGAGGTACTGTGCCGAGGACACCAAGCTCACCGAAAGCTTCCATGACAGGGTTGGAGTTCAAGATTCGCTGTTCGATCCTCTCTGCAATCTTGTGATTTTCCCAGGATGTGGGTGACGCGGCCACCACAGCGTAGAACTTCATAAGGCAGCGGGACGTCCATGTCTGTGGCAGAAACAGCCCTGTGGGAGCTGTGTCCACATTCCCTCCCACTTCTGAGCCTGCCTGATACAGCCCTCTTTTCCACCATGTATGTTGCTGACCAAAGGGTGAATGCTGAGTTCAACTGTATCCTTGGGCAAGGCACTTCCCTGTCTGTGAAATGGGGACACTTACTTCTGCTTCTCCTAGCTCCTGAGGATGCATTTAAGAAATGAGGGGGGCTGGGGCAGAGGAGGACAACCCACCCTGACCTGAGCAGGATACTGACCTAAGGAGACTTTCCATGCATTTTCTTGCCAACCCTACAGACGCAGATGCAATTACATACTACCTGTTTTCAAAATGATGAAACTCAGGCATAGAAAAAATTTAAATTTTATTGAAGAGTACATATCTAGTAAATGATAGGGCTCTGATTTATACCAAGGCAATCTAGTTACAAAATTCTCACTGTTTTTAATCACCTGAGATGAGGTCTATTTTGATTTTAATTTCCATTTGTTCATTGCCAGGACAGAGAAACAATAGATTTTAATATACTGACTGTACCCTGTCACCTTGATAAACTCCCTACACCTCACTACAAGTTTTTACCTTTGTTTTTGTTTGGTTTGGGGTCTTTTTGGTAGTTTTGGTAAATTCTTTTAGGTCTCCCTCTGAGGTGGGAGGTGCTCCCTCTCTGCTATTTTCTGAAAGAATTTGTATAGAACTAGTAACATTAATTCCTTAAATACTTGGTAGAATCCATAAAGTGAAGGCACCTGGGCCTGGAGAAAAGATTTTTTTTTTTTTTTTTTTGAAGACTCAGGGCCCCCTGCATATCCATGCTGTGTTACTTCTCACTCCTCATGTCTCTCCTGTTCCCTTTGTGGTTTTGTGTCTTATTCCCTTAGTTCTTTTTCTTTTAATTAATTTATTATTTTTTTTGGCTGCGTTGGCTCTTCGTTGCTGCACGTGGGCTCTCTAGTTGCGAGTGGGGGCTACTCTTCGTTGCGGTGCGCAGGCTCCCATTGTGGTGGCTTCTCTTGTGGCGGAGCACGGGCTCTAGGCGCATGGGCTTCAGTAGTTATGGCTCGCAGGCTCTAAAGCACAGGCTCAGTAGTGGTGCACGGGCTTAGTTGCTCCGCAGCATGTGGGATCTTCCCAGACCAGGGCTTGAACCCATGTCCCCTGCATTGGCAGGCGGGTTCTTAACCACTGTGCCACCAGGGAAGCCCTGAGGAAAGATATTTAACGATGACTTAAATTTGTCTCATAGATTTAGATATTCAGGTTATATGTTTCTTCTTATTTGAGCTTCAGCAGTTTGTGTCTTTCAAAATATTTCTCCATTTTATTAAACTGTAGAATTTATTGTAATAGTTAATAAAAATCTCTTATCTGCAGGATCTTTAGTTATGGCTATTCTTTCATTTCTGACATTTGTAATTTGTCTAAGTTTGACTAGATTTTATTAATCTTTTCAAAGAAATAACCATAGATTTCACATGCTTTATTATTTTTGTTTCTATTTTACTGGGTTTTTTTTTTTAACTTTATTTCCTTCTTCTGCTTACTTTGGGTTTACTTTATTCTTTTTCCCTTAGTTTAACGTAGAGGATCAGGTCAATTATTTGAGTTTATTCTTTTCGAATATAAGTGTTCAACGTTACAACAAATTTCCTACTAGGCACTGCTTTTTTCTTTTAAGCACAAATTTTGATGTGTTTTGCTTTAATTTTCACTCAGTTCAAAGTGTTTTCTAATATCCCTTGTGATTACTTCTTTGACCCAAAGGATATTTAGAAAGGTATTAATTCCCAAACGCTTTGGGATTTTCTAGATGTCTTTGTTACTTACTTCTAGTTCAAGTCTACTCAGGGCAGAGAACAGTTTGTATTTTATTCTTTTCAAATTGAGATTTGTTTTATGGTTCAGAAGATAGCCCATATCAGTTCCATGTGTACTTGAAAAGAATGCACAAATATCAAACTATTAATTTTGATTTTATTTCTCCTTTCAACTGTTTTTGCTTTGTGTATTAATATAATTACTTCAGCTTTCCTTTGATTAGTGTTGGAATGGTATATCTTTTCCTATTCTTTTACTTTGAACCTATCTATATCTTTATAGTGGGTTTCTTTAAGACATTATATAATTTGAGTCTTGCCTTTTTAAAGAAAACCACTCTGATATTCTATGTCTTTAATTGAAGAGTTTAGTCCACTTACATTTAATAATCACTATGGTTGGGTTTAAATCTACCATCTTATTATTTCTTTTTGAGTTGTTCCATGTGATCTTTGTTACTTTTTTCTCCTTTTATTGCCTCTGGTTGAATTGTGTACTTTTATGATTCCATTGTACCTCTACAATAAATTGTTACTATCTTCACCTTAGAATGAATGATTTTTTAAAAATTTATTTATTCATTCATTCATTCATTTTTTGGGCTGCACTGGGATCTTCATTGCTGTGCGCGGGCTTTCTCTAGTTGTGGCGAGCGGGGGCTACTCTTTGTTGCCATGAGCGGGCTTCTCATTGTGGTGGCTTCTCGTTGCGGAGCACAGGCTCTAGGTGTGCGGGCTTCAGTAGTTGTGGCTCACGGGCTAGCACAGGCTCAGTAGTTGTGGTGCGTGGGCTTAGTTGCTCCACAGCATGTGGGATCTTCCAGGACCAGGGCTCGAATCCGTGTCCCCTGCATTGGCAGGTGGATTCTTAACCACTGCGCCACCAGGGAAGTCCCTATCATTCTTATCTTTGTTCCTCTTTATGTATATTTTGCTGCTTCCTTACAGATTTTTTTTTTTTAAAGATTTTTTCCTTATGTTTGGCTTCAGCAATTTGACTATAATGTGCCTAGGTGTGTTTTCTCTGTATGCATCCTACTTAGTGTTTCCTGAGCTTCTAGGAACTATGCTTGTTATCTTTTGCTAATTTTCTGAGATATTACTTCTGACCCACATTGTCTCTTCTCCTGGGACATCAATTACAAGTATGGTAAACCATGTGATATTGTACCAAGGCTCCTGAATGTGCTTTTCTTTTTGTTTTTCAATTTTCTCTCTCTTTTTTGTTTTGTTTTGTTTTGGCCACAACATGTGGCACGTGGGATCTTAGTTCCCCAGACAGGGATCAAACCCGTGCCCTGTACAGTGGAAGCACGGGCTCTAACCACCAGACCACCAAGGAATTCCCCAAATTTCTCTTTATTTTTTGATTTCTGTTGACTCACTCTCAAGTTCACTGATGTATTCTTCTGCATGTCTTGTCTGCTAATAAGAGTTGTTCATGCTTTTATCATTTCCACTTAACTATAGTTTCCACCTCTCTCATGAAGAGATTGGAAGAATCCTTTCTGGAGATACTGACAAGCTCATAAGACAAGTTATGAACATTCAGGGTCCCACCAGTTTAGAAAGCTATCCATAGTGAGGCCTCCTGTCCATAAACGTAAGAGATTCTAATTGACTGTTGCTTAATGCCTTATTCTGAAGTATGAACAGAAATTCAAGGATCATTAACTATTTGGTAAACTTCTTTTACATGAATGACAAATATCACAACAAAGGAAGAAAAGGAACTAGAAGGAAATAGAAATGAATTTTGGAAATAGAAATGAAAGGAACAGAAGACAAGTAAAAATCATGAAATATCCTCAAAGATAAGAGAAGGAATAAGACCAGGATACTGGGGGGAGAATAATATTCAGAGAACAAGAAAGAACTCTTAGAATTAAAATTTTTAATAAAAATTCAAAATTCAAAAGGATTGAAGGGTAGAGAATATCTCCCAGAAGACAGGACAAAATATTAAGAGATAGAAGAATAGATGAGGAAAACAGGATATTAGACAATTTATCAAACTTTCTACTAATACGAATTCCAGAAAGGGAAAACAAGGGGAGTAAATTATTAAATTATTATCAACAGATATAGTATTTTCCCAAACTAAAGGACATGAGTTTCAAGGTTAAAAAGCCCCACATAAAGTATCCAGAACAGCAAGTGAGAAAAGACACGCCACTGTGAGTTTCAATACCTATGGATAAAAAAGACAGCCCTAAAAACTTTTGGAATGAAAACGCAAATCACCATTTATGGATTGGGACTTTCAACATCAACACTCAAAAGAATATATAAGGGCTTCCCTGGTGGCGCAGTGCTTGAGGGTCCGC